TTTGAAGGAAATCGGAATTTACTGAGAAATATAAAAGAGTTAAACTAATAGAAAGACAGATTGGAAAACTAGAAGACTAGAAATAAAATCAAATTGAAGTTGATTTCTTGGTTTAATTTAATTCCAATCAAAATTACAGTAAGAATGTTTGATAATTCGAAGTTATTCTAAAATCCATCCGGGAAAAAATAATAACAGTTAAGAAGAGCTAAAATACATTTGAAAAGGAATTGTGATGACTACCACTTCTTAAGAGTAGTGTAGATTTGAAAAAATATGCCAGTATGTACAATAAGCATAAAAATGGTTCACAAAGCAAGGGGAGGAAAGGAAAGGGCTATTTAAGAAATGTACATAGGATAATGAATTAGCTACCTATAAGGAAAGAGAAAATAATTTACATCCAGACATACGGTAACAACATAAATTTCAAAGCAATTAAGGAGGTAAATATTTTTAAATTGAGACAGTAAAATTACAAGGAAATAAGATTGGCTATTCACACATTTAATAATATTTACTAAATCCCCAGCTGGGAGAAAACGTTCTCAGCTTATGCAATGGAAGAAATTGCAAAGCAATACAAGAAAAATAGATTGGGCTCCACAATATTAAAATGTGATATGTTAAAATGAAAAGTAAAGGCAAACCAAAAAAAAACTAGAAAAAGTATGCGCAATACATAATTTTAAAACGTTTTTACATATTTTTTAAACAAAAACTAGACATGCGTAAATGGTGTGGAACAAATGATAAATGGATAAATGGCGTGGAACAGACAAATCATAAACAACCTGGAAAGAGAACAAAGCTACTATTGCAAAGCAACCATACCCACTGTTGATTACTAAAGTAAAACATGGGCAACAATCTAACTGAAAAGCAAAAATTAAATAAATGAGGGTGAAGATACAGAATGGAATGCATATAGACATATAAAATTATGTTTAGGAAAAATAAGTCTGGGGAAGAAATCTGTTCTGTGAAAAAGTACAATGCAGCTATATTTCGCTACATATAATCTGATCACAGCTCTTTAAAAGTAAACATAAAAAGAATGAAAATTTGTAAAGAAAGAAAACTCTGGGTCGTTAAACATTTTGTCTATCATATGAGTTTAGTAATAACTTTCCCCAAATCACTTGATTCAGTTCAACAAATCCAGAATAGTTCATTGACAATAACTTTGCATATAAAATATAGATTTATTTACATATACATTAATGGAAATTGGAGGTCTTATTTAATGTACTTTGTTCAAAAAGGGAAAATTGAAGAAAATATGCCTAAATGTTAACAAAACTGGGTATTGGGATTGTGGATGATGTTTTATTTAATTCTTTGTCCTATCTGTTATTGTCAACTTTTTGTGCAATTAACATGTATCTTTTTTCGATCAGGAAGAAAATATTTTAAGAGTATTGAAACAAGTTCAGAAATTCTATGTGGCTTAAATTAGCATAATACCAAAGTTACCTATATACAAATTTATTTACATCTAAATTGTATCTCACCATGTTAATAGAATATTGAGATAATCAGCTAAATGTCTGTATTTCAATCAATCAAATATTTATGGAGCGGTCTATGTACATGGTCCTGTATGAAATGCTCTGATAGACCTGAAGGAGAGAACATCATCTGAACACCAGCTTTCAAGAGCTCATGTTTTACTCAGAAAATCAAGACATTGATGTGTAAAAAAGTAAAAAAAGCAGAAGAGATGCCACAACATAGTGGATGAATTCTCGTAATATGTACAATTTTGGGGGGAAACGAGATCTCCACACAATAGATTACTCAGAGGGGGGGTCACTGAGAGGGAATTATTTGAAGAACGAGTAGGTAATGAATGGATGGTGAGTTGGGGGAAAGAGCAATCCAGCTGAAGGTGTCTCCTACCGTTGACTGTAGGGGACAGAGTTAGTGAAATTGATAGTCTTCTACAAAGATTGAAACAGATTCGATACACATGTGAACAAGACAACGTGGGAGACAGCTGAATACACCCATGGCAACCACACAAGTATGTGCAGGAGAATGGTGAGGGGCAGGGGCTTGGTGGCCCGACAGACCGGCTCTGGAATTTCAGCTGTGGCCTCCTCCTTGTGATTTGCTTTCTCTCCAGGCCTCAGGGTTTTAGCTGAGAAGTGAGGGTGACTCGTTTCAGTTTTCTTCACTCACGCACGTTGTGCGCTTACTATGTGCCAGCATCGTGCAAAACACTTTGCATAAATGACCTTACTTAGCCCTTGGAATAGCACCTTTCTGAGGTAGATGCTACTGTTGTCCCCATTGGACATATGAGGAAACCAGGCTCTAATCCCTCAAGAGGAGAAAGAATTTAAACCCAGGCTGTTGGGGTCAGAGACTTTGTCATACTGTGCACGGCATTTAAGAAATGTAGTCAAGAGTTTGGCATATACAGGTGACCCTTCAACAACACAGGTTTGAACTGTGTGGGTCCACGTATAGATGCATTTTTTTTTTTTTTTTTTAAATCCTCATCCGAAGATATTTTTCCATTGATTTCTTCAGATTGAGTGGGAGGGAGGGAGAGAGACAGAGAGAAACATTGATATGGGAGAAACACATAGATTGGCCGCCTCCTGCACGACCCTGACTGGGGCCAAGAATTAAACCCTCAACCGAGGTACAGGTGCCCTTGACTGGGAATTGAACCCGAGACTCTTCGGTTTCTTTTTAAAATAAATACTATAAATGTATTTTCTCTTCCTTTTGATATTCTCAATAGTATTTTATTTTCTCTCAGTTGCTTTATTGTAAGACTACATTATAGAAATAACATACAGAATATGTGTTAATCCACCGATTTTTAACAGGTGTGCCATAAGAATTTTTAAAACTTGCAATACCTGACTAATTAGTTAGGGGCACTGACCTCTTTTCCCTTTGATTGTGAAATGAAAAAATGACAACAACCAACACAATAGTAGCTGCCCAGTGTGAATGAATCAAAATTATACCTATTTTTTTGTCAGATCAACAGAAAATATAGTATATTTTTTGGTGTGCCGCACAATTTTAGTAATTAGTTTATGTGTGCCATGAGATGAAAAAGACTGAAAATCACTGTGTTAATCAACTGTTTATGTTATTGATAAGGTTTCAGTCAATAGAGGGCTATCAGTTTTTAAATTTGGGGAGTCAAAAGTTATACTTGGATTTTCAACTGCTGGGCGTGGGAGTTGGCACTCCTAAACCCTATGTTGTTCAAGGATCAACTAACTGTATAGGTGCTCAGACCAGAACAGAGAATTCAACCCCAAATTGGCTTAGCTGTATAAATGCACCCATATCCATAGGGCCCTGCAAAAAACTGGGCTCACTCCTGATTTCCATTTCCAATGTATAAAATCATACGGTCCTGGGAACTCTCTGGTACCAAACAGTCTCTGACCCTATGACCCCATGTCCACCCACCCAGGGACAGAAAGGTGAAAATATCCAGTCATGAGAGGGGAGGAGTGGGGTCTGCCAAATATCATGGGAAAGGGGACAACAGAAGGTTAGGGTGTCACCTTGGTTCTGGGTATCAGAGAAATCCTGTTCGGATTTCCTTTTGATGCTGGGCACCATGGCAAGGACCTCCCCGCAGGTGGTTGGGGCACATCTGGGAGAACATGAAATGGGAATCTATGTCAACATTCCTGTCTTAAAATTCAGCCACTTGGGGCATGTCACTTCCTCTTTCTGAACCTGTTTTCCTGTTTATAAACTGAGGGGGATGCGCTAAATAGATCTAATTGCTGACATTTTGTTCTAGAATTCCATCCTCCTAACATGGACATAAAGGATGATACTCAAAGTAACCAGAAACAGCAACTTTGAGTTTCAATCCAATAGGCCTCATCTCTAGTAACATATTTCTAAGTACAGGCACTGACAATTTTTTAGGAGGAAAAAGAGTTATCTAAAATTTCTAATTAGTAATTTGGGGGAAGCAGTTTTGCAAGAAAAGTACCAGAGGTGAATGCACCTTGGTAATTTGGGGGAAAGCATTTTTACAAGCAATTACTTGAAATGAATGAAACCTTGAATGCACCTTAATTCTAAGACGAAGTCAGCAAGAATACAAAGACTTGCCAGCAGCTTAAGCAGTAACTCATGGATTCCTTTTGTTCCCACAAAGCCCCAGGTGAATTGGAAGGGCCAAACTGTTCTGTTTCATTGATTGCCAACTAAATTTCAGAGAAACTAAGCACCTTCTACAGATTATGCTGTTTGTGAGTACTTTGGTGGCTGAGACCAGGTCTTGTCCATATTTTGCACTCCACCATACGTAGACATAATGTGGGGGGAAAAACACTTCTTAACATTCTATACACACTGCAATGAAATCCATTTGCATGTAATAAATACTGTATAACCTTGGGGGAGCCACTTAATGTCCTTGGGTCTCTAGTTCCTCCTCCATTAATAGGGAAGTCAAATGTCTCCCTCACAGAATTTGTCAAGAAGGGTAAGCGAGACCATGGAAACTTCCAGCACTGTTCCTCCCTCGTTGGGTGCCAAGGCCCAGCTTCATGGCTTTCCTTTTGAGGGCATGCATTTTCTGACTCCCATTCATGACATTTTAAAATTGCCAAGCTGGTCAGCTTCCCTCCACATAGCCCAGTCCTTTGCAGCTCAGAATGGATCGTAAGGAACCAACACCTGCAGGAAGATATTCTTGGGGATCTGGTTCCCAGTTAAAAAAGAGTAACAAATTAATAGCTACTACTGGCTCTAGTTCTGTCTGGATCCAAAGTCCCGCACCTCCTAGCCAGAGCCCTGACAGCCACTGCTGCTACTGCAGCCAGATCTCTCTTGGGAGCAAGAGATTAATGTCATAAAGAGCAAACTGTAATTGAATTCCACATCCTGTAATGTCAACACGTAAATGGAGAATCCTCTCTGAAATCTCTCTATATATGTTCACAGACAGACACACATTCCTCAAAATCATTAAAAATCCTACCTGCCCAGACAATACTTACCTACGGGACCATGAGCAAGGTCTGATCCCAGCCTGTGTTTCAGCAATGTCCTCATGGAAACATCTCCCAACCACCCCCAGACCCACCCGCAAGCTTCTCAGTTACTGGAGGTCAGTCACAAATGCTTCATCATTTCCAATAGGGTGGGTGCTGCTACTCAGAAGATAATGATCTAGCTCAGTTGAGTAGAGAAGGGTGAAGCCACAGATAACACCTCCTCTTTTAGCAGAGCCCTGCCCTGCTCCTTCACGCAGGCAGTTTACTAGATGGAGGAGATTAATAGTCTCTTTCCATGTGAGCTCACATTTCAATACTGCAAATATGCATACCACCGGGTAGAGTGGAAGAGCACTGGAGGAGGAGTCAAGAGGCCTAGGTTCAAATTCATCACCTCTGGCACAAACTTGCTGCATGAACTCAAACAAATCACTTTCTGATCAGCGAACTCATGTCCTTCCTCTATAAAATGAAGAAGTAGATTTCTAGATGTTAGCAAAGGTCCCTTCCAAATGGGCTCATCTCTAAATTCGTGAGTGATGCGACTGTAGATTGGGACAGTGTGTATGGGACATGGCAACTAACAAGGATAATTTTTCAAGGACAACCCCTTTGCCATTAAACGTTGAGTCAGGCCAACCTGAGATGGCTGTTGCAGCTGTACAGAGCGACTTTCTAACTGGGTTGTCTGTATCCTCTGGGTTTGCCCTGCCAATACACTCTTCTCTCTGCTTCTAACTCTGCCATGGCCTCTAAGTAATTAACTCTAGCTACAATTAACCTATGGGAATCAAGTCAAGATTCATGACTCACTACTTCGATTATCGTTCTACACGAGTCCAGTATAGACGTGGCAACAGCTAGAGTTGTGGAATATTCACACTGCTCTGCACGTCTGTGTGGACCACTCTTGGATGAGAACTTCCCATGATGGCACTCCAAGGCTCACAATATCAGGTAGCTGTTAAGGATCTTTGAACATGACATATTTTGGGTCTTCCATGTGTACTCTCATTAGGATAATGTTGTAACAATAGAAAGTCAACTTGACTTGGACCTAGTGATCTCGAGATCAGAGGCATTTGACCTCTCTGGACTACATTTTCATCACAAGGGGTTTTGATTAGATCATCCATGACTCTGCTGTAAATAGTAAAGTAAGAATTATTGATGGTCTAAGTCTTTTTCTCTCTACCTCTGGCTGCCCAAACTCTGCCTATGCCTGGTAAGTGCTCAACAAATGTTTGTGGCATGAATAAATGAGTGCATGAATATAAGTGCTCTGTTACAGCGGATGGGGGATGCCTGCATCTCACACACTGCTGAACGTCATGCACTTGCTGAAGATGAGACGATTCTCACAAATGCACTTAGCCGGCTCCTGCTGGAGGCCACTGGGAATGGATTCGCCCTGGTGCTCCTTGAAGACCTCCCCCTCCAAGGTCCATCGGCCAAGCCCTGGGTGATGTGGCCCTCCTCTCTCTGCTTAGAGCTAACAGACTCCAGCCTCAAAGACAGGATTCAAGGGGAGATCAGAACAGTGATAAACGAGGTTATAATATCTGTAACATCAACAGGAAGTTATTTTTATAGTTTATCACCTGATGGCGAAAGAGCAGCTAATGGAGGTAGATAACACACTTTCACCTCCCAGCCCCTACCCCCACCCCACACGTTTCTAAGAACATATCCCTCCCAAATCCTTTTCCCTCTACGCAATGTCTCCAACATTTGTGGGACATGACGTCTTCCAGAGAACGCAGCTACTCTCTGTAGGAGAATTACTTCTGAAAATGGTGTGGCAACAGCATGAGGAATTTTTGAAAAGAGCAGGAAAAAACCCTACTCTCTATCCAATCACCCTAATACATTTTTGCATAATGCTTTCCCTGCATAGTTTTTTTTTTTTTTAAATACAGATTTCCAAATTGTTTTCCACATAATAATGAATGAGCTTTTAAAATCCACAATTCTGGTTATGTCACTCTCTACTTAAAATTCTCCAGTGGCTTCCCATTGCAGTTAGCATGAAATCTAAGACCCTGAACAAATCTATAAGGCTCCTGCTATCTGGCAGCCACCTACCCTTCTAGCTGTATCTCAGTCACTCTGCCGGCTTTTCTCTCTTCACGCTCTTCCAAGCCTCCTCCCACCTTAGGGTATCTGCACATGTGGGTCCCGCTGTGCCCAGCAGGTTTCATGGTACCTTTAAGGGCTGCCTACTTTCCCATTTGCTGATATCATCCTAAATTCCAAACCATCCCTTGGATCGTCATTAAGTTGTTTCCAGTGTTTTTACTATTGGAGACACCACTCTGATGGATAACTTTGTACACACTGATTTTTAAAAATTTTTGGCTTATCTTAGACTATTTCTTTAGGCTTAAGGTCCAGGAATAGATCTCTAAGTCAAAGGAAGGTATTTTATGGCTTTTGCATCATATTGACCTTCTGCTTGAAGAACATGTATTCCATGAGCAGTATTTGAGCCTGTCCATTTCACTACAGTCTGGATAGCAATGAATTATTATTTTCGATAATTATATATTGATATTCCCATGGGTGTTTTAATTTATTTTTCAAGTCTGTTACAAGTTTATTATTAGTAATAAAGTGTTTTGCTATTTATTAAGCACCAATAAGGGTACCAGTTGTTTCATATACACTAGTTCATTTAATTCTCACAACTTACAAGGAAGATACTATTTTACAAAGAAACCGAAAATTGAGATAACTTGCCCAAATGTATAGAGTTGTAGTAAATAGCAGAGTCAGGATTCAAATTCAGATCTTTTATTTATTTGTTTAAAAATTTTTTAAAAAAAATGTTTTTCTTTATTGATATTAGAGAGAAAGGAAGGGAGAGAGGGAGAGAGAAACATCAATGAGAGAGAACATTGATTGGCCACCTCCTGCATGCCCCCAATGAGGATCAGGCTCACAACCTGGGCATGTTCCATGACCAGGAATTGAACCGGTGACCTCTTAGTGCATGGGTCAACACTCAACCACTGAACCACACTGGCTGGGCTCAAATTCAGATCTTTTATTATTATTTCAAAAGCCATTTGCTTTATGCAGTATTTTTCTATCTTCTGTATCCCCCTAATTGACTTTCTGCACCAGTTATGAGTTATGTAGACACTCAACATGCAATGCATTAAGGTATAGTGTAGCGCCCTAAGTTCATATGAAAACACATATGAAGCACCCAGTCTCATTCCTTTCAAGAGTTGGCAGTCTACACCAACCCTCCCCTTCCCTTCAGATTAAATTTCTTTTTAAAAAAATGATTTTAGAGAGGAAGGGAGAGGGGGGAGAGAGAGAGACATCAATATGACAGAGGCCTATCTGTCGGTTGCCTCCCTTACATGCCCTGACTGGGGATCAAATTTGCGACATTTCAGTGCACAGGGCAATGCTCCAACCTACTGAGCCACACCGGCCAAGGCTCAGATTAAATTATTTATTAATTAAAGGTTTCACTCCATAAACTGAAGTTTAAACTTAGTAATAGATGCATTAAAATGCCCACCTCACAGAATTGTTTAAGAATCAGTGAGCACACACATGAACCTCTCTGTTCACTGTAAAACACTCTACCAATGTTAGGTTTATTAGCTTTTAAAAATAACATAGGGAGAAATGAAGAATGCTGGGTTTCTTCTGGGGTGGTAAAAATGTTGTAATATTGATTGTAGTGATAGTTGCACATCTCTGGACATATACTAAAAACCATGGAATTGTACACTTTTGAATGAGTGAATTGTATAGTATGTGAATTCTATCTCAATAAACCTGATATTTCAAAAATATTCTATAAAGTATTGAGGGCTTTGCCACTATGGCCACTATGCTGTTCCCTTCAAATGGTTCTGCCATCATTCGTTCATTCATTCATTCTACAGTTATTTCTTGGTAGGTCACAATGCATCTGGCTAAGCAATTGGGATTACAGTGGTGAAGAGATAGACATGGTCCCTATTCTCATGCAGTTGGGATCACGGACTTCAGATAAAAAATTATACAAAGGTGTGATGAGTGTTATATTATGGAAAGTGAAAGGGAGCCAGGGAACATACAGCAGAGGGGCTCATTATAGTCTTGGGTCAGATAAGCCCTCAGCTCTGACCTAGGGAGGCTACAGGCAGAGGAAAGTGTGTGAGTGGAGGCTCAGTGTGGGGACAAAGAGAACCAGCCAAGACAAAGGGAGAGTGGAAGTGGGGGAGGAGGCAGGGAGTGACGGGCAGAGAGGTGGGTATGGGTGGAATCACAGAGGCCTTGTAGGCTTGTTAAGAAGTTTGAATTTATCCAATGGACAACAAGAATCCATTGATGGTACATTGATCAATTGAAAAGATCAGGGTTTGTTTTTAGGAGAGCCCTCTGTGTGCAATGTGGAGATTAGGTTGGAGAAGAGAGAAGAGGCAATTAAACAGATTTTTAAAATATGTAGGAGGGCCTTGGATGGTTTGGCTTAGAGCATTGGCCCGTGGACCCAAGAGTCATGGGTTTAATTCCAGTCCAGGGCACGTACCTCGGTTGCGGTTGGTCCCCAGCCCTGGTCGGGGTCATGTGGGAGGCAGCCAGTCAATGTGTCTCTCTCACATCAATGTTTCTCTCTCTCGCTCCCTCTCTCCCACTCTAGCTAAAGATAAATATAAAAATATCCTTGGGTCAGGATTTAAAAAAATAATAAAATATGTAGGAGGTAGAAGTGATAGGATTTGTTGAGTGAAATACTTAGAGAGGAGGAGGGAGGGGGCAAATTTCAAGGTGATGTGTAGATTTTTAACTGGCAAGTGGGTGACTGAGGGGATGGGGAGCCACAAAGGAGCAGCAGGTGCCTCCTGTTCCTGATGCAATGAGGGAGAGGACACAGCGTCCAGTACTTAGTGGTTAAGGACCCGGACAAGGAAGCCAGACTGACTCAGCTATCCTGTTGCTGTTACCTAACTTTTCTGTGACTCAGCTTCTTGGAGATGAAAATAATAACAGCTTTCTCAAGCGCTATTGTGAGGACTATATGAGTTAATACACATGAGGCACTCAAACTATGTCTGTAAAGACTATATAAGTGTTTACACATTGTAAAGATGACACATGTGGTGT